TCACAATAAGAAAATTGGGGCGTCGCCGGTCGTTTCGTGGCGGCTGACCCATCGCGATACAGCGGGTTCGCTCGCCCCGTTGCGTCTTTCCGATAATTCCTCGGTTCGTTTGACGTAAGATCCCATTAATGACCGGCACGGCGTCGGCGTCCATTTACGACACGCAATCTCAATTCGCTTGACGTGCGATCGGAAGCCTCGGAGGATTCGCATCTCTCAAAAACATACGTATGCTCAGAGGTGTAGACGTAGAGTTAGCAACAGTTCTGAAACGGGTCGTGTAACATTGGTCGAATAGCCTCGAATCACGTCGACCCCGTGGCTAAAGATATTATTTTTGGGTGACCGTACACGTCGATTATAAGCCAATACAGGAGCTTCTCGACAGACGGACGAGTCGAGTTCCCGAGGCTCGTTCGCGAGTCCGACTTAACTCTTGTAGATAATGATATACAGTAGAGCTATACCGTATATACCCAGCACATTACGGTACAGTCGGTCCCCGACTGACGACGGGGTTAGGGACCGGCAACCGTCGCAAGTCGAAAATAATACCGTACATAGAAAATCTAAAACGGGTGTCAATTCTTCTTCTCGGCACCACGAGAACTCTCACTCTTACGCTTGCCAGCCATTTTAAAGGGAATTACAAACAAAAATTTTGTCGGTACACAGTGCAATCACTCACGTCAGGACTCGAAAATAGGTAATTTGACAAAATTTTGGTACGACCGAGGCGGTCGTACGTCGAGTAGGTCGTAAGTCGAGGAGTAGCTGTATTTAACTAGTGATAACAGAAAAAGTTATTTCTTTAATGTTTTGTTTTTGTGTTTTAATGTTTTGTCTGTGAGTCGGTTCTCGTCTTCAACGTTTAGGTCACGAAGGAGGCTTAAATATATCTAGAAAAAAAAGTTTAAGCTCCTGCGTAAATATCACAATAGATTTGCACTGTCCTCTGTTTGGTCACAGCAGATTATGTGAAATTCGAGCGAGAGAGATTTAAATAATAAATCCCGCAAAATTGTGCGTTTCTCCCGGAAGCACGAAAAGAATCCGTCAATAACGTCGCAGTTTCGTTCTACGTCGGTCACGTCCACGAAATGTAGACGCTATTGGACTGTACGAAACCGGGTATGCCGATTAAATTTTTGCTCGTCCATCGCAAGAAGTTAGGTAGTTTAGATTAGATTAGGTTAGGTAGGGTTTTCAATGTTTTTTTTTAACCCTTCATGTTGAAAGTAACTTTTTTTGGAAGATTCATTGTTTTTGTTAGTGTAAGGAAATTAAGATCATATAAATTTATTAGAAAAAATCCAAATAAATACTGGTAAAATTATCGTTTTGGCCGTGCATCTATTTTCCAAAAGTCATAATCGTTCAAAATATCCATAAAAACCGTTGGAAAAAGATAATTTCAACTTTACGTAACCTATTTGAGTAATCGGTTTCTCCATGTGGTGTTAAACTATTGAGTAATGTTTATTTTTAATACAAAGTTGTTATTTGACCCGGATTCTGGGCCAAATGACCGTCGGCTATTTGACCGGGACCTGCGGGGATCGTGTGGGATTGTAGTCGGGATGGTTGGGGGCATTAAACAAGTCATTCCATTATGGTATTATTTAATTGTATAATTTCTGTTGACAAAAGGATTTAGTTTTATTTTAGATCTTTGTCAAATAACCGGCGGTTATTGTGCCGAGTACTGGTCAAATAATCCCTGCCTATAATATAATAGTTTTACAGTGTTGTGTATTATATAGGTATCTGTTACATTTCCAGGAAGCTTTAAGGACCAACAACACATCTCGGTACGACAAGTGGAGACTCGACCGTACAGACCCGTCCGGTCTCGCACACGACGCCGTTAACGGCAAACGGAGAAACGCCGCCGCCGCCGACCCGCGGGAGGTAAGACCGACGTCGTCACTTCGCGTCGGGCGTACGAGCCGAGCGTATTAGAGGACTTGTATTTAAGTGCACTTGTACAGTAATCCTATAAAAGTGGACATTTATGTAAATGATTGTGTCTAAAGTCACTTCCCATTGGTGTCGGTGGTACGGGACCTCTCAAAATTGTGGCCCAGATTCACGTTTTTCATCCCAAACCAAATTTTGAATGTGTGTTTATTTCGTTATTCTTTAAAGTACAGTGCAGTATATTAATAACTTTTAGCTTCGTTTTCAAAACATAATGTCATTGTTTATTAATTATGATTCTTTACAAATGCTGTACTACTTTTTCTGCCTGTATGTTTCAATTCAGTTTATGAAACTTTTATTTGCATAGTTTTGAAGAAGACTACAGTACTTAGTACATAGTTTAAATGTTTGCATATCAACAGTGCAGTACTTTATCTTAAGTAATATTTTCAGGTACTTTCTCCATCACTGCCTAAAGTGGACCTGATGTGAACTAGAATGAAGTTGGCTGGACCTGCAGTGAAGTGGACCTGAAGCTAACTGGACCTCAAGTAGTCTGTGGTATTGTATTTAATATTGTTGTGGTACTTTGAATGTTAGGAAAGTTGTACAGGCATTCCCCAGTTTGAAAGAGTACTGTGTCTTATAAAAACCTATGGTAAATCGAATCAATATTCCTATAGACTCACATTATAAAAGCCAAGATACTTTTCTTCAATGAAAAAGGTTCCCCCCCCAATTATGTAGTCTCCAAAAAGTATTGATAGATTTTCTAGCGGTAAAATTTGAAACGCTGGGTGAAAGACTTTGATGTGATCTCCAGTGCATCAGCATAAATTGGTACAGGTACATCCGGTCACTATATGAGCAACAGCCATAGACGGCGGGTAGCGAGAGAGGGAGTCATCCTCGCGTGACATACAACCGTACAGTATATGCTTTACTATAACAAGAAATCCATTAAGCTATATTAATGTATGTATCGTGCTGGGTAGAAGCAAGGCATATGTAAAGAAGCCCCTGACTGAGGATTACAATAACATGGAAATATACTTTAAATGGAAGAGTTTCGGATCACAACCGAGACGGACCTCGAGGCGAACATTTCACCGTGTCGTAGTGACGGTTTCATTCGTACCGAGCTGCAGAATATAGTCGTCGACGACACGTATGATTTATGAGAGGTGACCAAGGAAATAGTAGTTGATATTAGAGTGAACAGCTACAGCAATATACAGTATATTGGTCTAATTGGGATCTGCCAAATATTATTGATTCGTAAATAGTGTCGGTTTAACGTCACAATAAGAATTTAAATCGGCGCGTCGCCGGTCTTTTCGTGGCGGCTGATCCATCGCGATACCGCGGGTTCGCTCGCCCCGTTGCGTCTTTCCGATAATTCCTCGGTTCGTTTGACGTGAGATCCCATTAATGACCGGCACGGCGTCGGCGTCCATTTACGACACGCAATCTCAATTCGCTTGACGTGCGATCGGAAGCCTCGGAGGATTCGCATCTCTCAAAAACATACGTATGCTCATTCGTGCTCAGAGGTGTAGACGTAGAGTTAGCAACAGTTCTGAAACGGGTCGTGTAACATTGGTCGAATAGCCTCGAAGCACGTCGACCCCGTGGCTAAAGATATTATTTTGGGGTGACCGTACTCGTCGATTATAAGCCAATACCGTATAGGAGCTCTTCGACCGACAGACGAGTCGAGCTCCCGAGGCTCGTTCGCGAGTCCGACTTAACTCTTGTAGATAATGATATACAGTAGAGCTATACCGTATATACCCAGCACATTACGGTACAGTCGGTCCCCGACTTACGACGGGGTCAGGGACCGGCGACCGGGTCGCAAGTCGAAAATGGGAAAATAATACTGTACATAGATGGGCGTCTCATTTTCTTCTCGGCACCACGAAACTCTCAATCTTACGCTTGCCGGCCATTTTAAAGGGAATTACAAATGAAAATGTTGTCGGTACACAGCGCAATCACTAATGTCTGCATTCAAAAATACATAATTTGACAACATTAAGACCAATCCCCACATGTGAAGGGACCCATACAAATTGAACATTATGGCCATTTTTCCGTATTGTATTTACTAATTTTCTACATGAACCAATAATGTGTCCAAAGACTGGACTCCCACTGTTCAAAGAATCCAAAGCTGCCCTACTATCAACAACAAAATATGCATCTTTATACCTCTTTACAACATTTTCCAATCCTACTAACATTGCATATAACTCAGCTTGTGTTGATGAAATAAAACTTCTCAACCAAAGTCCAATTTTGATGTCATCATTTCCTTGTTCTGTGTGCTGTCTTATAAGGATCCCGCACCCTGCCCTGCCACTTGACATAACTGAACCGTCACAAAAAACATGCAATGTGTTTATTTTAGGCAAATTACTAATCTTATTCCCATATAAAGCCCTTAACTGTCCTGGTTCATGTAATGATTTCTTCATTGTGAGAGGCACTATGTCTAACTCTACTTCTCGTTCTTCCCAGGGTGGATTCTTACAACTCTTCTGAACAGCTGTACACCAGTCTGCCAGATTACATTTTTTAATAATATTTACTAATCCATTCATGTATCCTCTCTTGCCTTGCCTGCAGAAGGTCCTTTTATCTTTTAAACCATCATTTATATCTTGTACAAATTTACCCCCACTGTTCCCTCTCATTAATCGAACTGCTGCAACTGTATTAATTTCATTGACCCTCTGTGAAATGCTCTGTAACCCTAGTTCCATTTTCATTATCTCAATCATTGCATTCTTTTGACACCCTAAAATAATTCTCATTGCTTCATTTTGCATGATCTCAAGCTTCCGTAGCCTTCCTTCACCAGTACAAGAGAGGACAGGTGCTGCATAGTCTATAAGTGATCTGATGGTAGAAATACACATCATTCTCAGTATGGGTACCCCAGCACCTTTACCACAACATGCTAGAGCCTTCAAGGGCTGTAATCTTGCTCTACATTGAGTGAGGACATGATATATTTCTGCCTCTTTACTTTCACTAGTAAAGCCAATATACATTCCTAAATATTTATACTTTGACACTTTCTCAACAATTTTTCCATTTAGAAAAACGGATTCAGTTCCTCTTCCTTTACATTCACACTTGGTTTTTTCTTCATTCATAACTAAGCCCATCTTTTGAGAAAGAACACTAAAATCATTTAATGCAATCTGCAAATTTTTTACAGAGTTTCCTTGAAATAAGATGTCATCTGCATAAATGATGGTTACAACTCCTTTGGGATATTTGTGTGAGGCTATCTTGTTCATTAACACATTAAATAACATTGGACTCAATACTCCCCCTTGGGGAGTGCCTAGTTCAAGTGCTCTTTCCTCAGACAAACATCCCTGATACCATACACAGATTCTCCTTCCATGCAAGTAGTCACCTATCCAGTGTAACAACTTTCCTGATACCCCTAGAGCAGCCAGTTCATTCATAACTACTTCACTGTGAGCTTTATCAAATGCTCCTTGTAAATCCACAAAAACTCTACATCTGTCTGCATCATTTGATAAACATTTTATAACACAGTCTGAAGTACATTTCCCTTCCAAAAAAACAAATAAATTACAAGATAGATTTTCCCCCACAATATATACAAGCCTATTTAATAATACTCTCTCCATCATCTTGGAAAAACAAGATGTTAAAGACACTGGCCTGTATCCACCAGTTGCCTTAGGGAAAGGAATAACTATCGCTTTCTTCCATTCTGTTGGTAATCTACCCTCTGCATAGCTCATGTTGAATAAATCTAATAATGGACTATTTTCCATACCAACTAAGCAGTTCAAAATTTCATATGTCACACCATCTTCGCCTGGTGCTGTAGATTTTCCTTTTTTAACAGCATCTTGAGTAATATCTACACATGTTACATCACAAATATTTAGAGCTGATGAAATAAATCTTTTTCTTTCATTTTGCCACTCATCTAATGCTTCTATTGTCCTGTTAGGCAGGGAGGCAACACTAGCAGCTTTAGCCCATTTGTCAACCAGTTTATTAGCTTCTTCCTCTGGATGAGGATGGCTAATAAAATTACTCCTTTTTCCTCTAATTTTGTTAATATCCTGCCATATTTCTTTGAGATTTTTACTCTCCCCAATGTGCTGTGCAAAATCTTGCCAATATTTCTCCCTTGCCTCCTTCCTAGCCTGCCCACATATTTTGGCTATATCCATGAAGATTTCCCTATCTTCTTCTCTTCTACCATTCTTTACCCAATCTTTATGTGCTGCCCTTAACATTTGTGTCCATCCCTTCAACATTTTGTCATTGGTATAGCAGTGTTTCCTAGCCCCATGTCTCTTATCATTTATTTTTTTCTGTGTTGACTTAGTCAAATATATTTCTATCTCCCCAACTAAGTCATTATAAAAGCTATCCATACAGACTGGTGTATAATTTCTGTACCATTTCTCTATATTTTGGGTAAACACTTCTGTGTCATCCTTGTTTAGTTTCAATTTCTTCCTCCTATATCTCACCTGTCTCTTCCCTAATGGTAATTGAACATACACAACAAAATGGTCACTGACTAGCTCCCTTATTATCTCACATTCTCCCTGGACTCCCTGACTGCTTATCATGCAAGCATAGTCTAACCTTCCTCCTTTAATATGAGTCACTTCCTTATTTCCTAACAAGTAAGAATCTGGGTGATCTTGTAAAAATTGCCAAAATTTTATACCATTTCTATTAATTCTCCCCATTGTTTCGAGTCTTGGATGTCGAGCATTAAAATCTCTTACAGCCAAAGTTGAGTCCAAAAACATGCAATCTGGTAAGAAGTTGAGGTCAAAACAGCATCCAGAAATATACAAATTTGCTATGTTCAGTTCTCCTTCCTTCAAATATAACTTTATACAGACACTTTCTATTCCTTGTACTCTACTCGGGTTTCCAACTAGTTCTGCTGGTATGGAATTCTTAATGTATGTTGAGACCCCTCTTATACCTTTACCCGAATAGAGATGAAATCCCTTATATCCAGACAGTTTAAGCAGGTCGCCTTTCCTGTCCCTGTAACGGGCCGCGTTTTCTCTTTTCAATAATTTACCATCCAGCTACTGTTTTCTGTTAGTATTCTATTTACTCATATACTTATTTGTTCTATGTAGCATTCCTCCAATGAGTACCCTGTTTAATATACTTATTCTCCTTCCATTCTTTACATATATATTTATTCTTATATGTTCTTTACCTCTATATACCTTATATTCTTATATGTTCTTATGTAAGTAACTCTTATGCTTCTCCACTTATGTTTTCCAAGTCAAGGTTCTTTCTTTTCATTTCCTTTCATATAGATTGTATTTTCAGTTTCAATGTTCTTACCTTTCTGAAGTATACTTTGTTTTATGTCTTTCTTATACATGGGTTAGTCTGGGGAACCATGTGATTCTTTGTATAACACTTTTTATACTTACAAGGGGTAGCTGCCACCACCCAGACTTTTCATTATATAACAGAACTCATGGAAGGGTTTTGGGTAGTGTGGTAGATGTATAGGCACGTGAGTAAGTATTATTTTCTGGGAACCAATGTTTAGAAGGAGTAGAGTGGTGATACTCAGATTACTAACTCAATATTTATTAATACAGTGAGTGGAGAAGATGCATCTTAGATTCACTCAGGCTAAACAGAACCGAAATTAACTTATTAAGTCATCAAACACTTCAAGAACTTATTACCTCATTAAACACCTCCAAATATTCATTACTTTATTGGATACTGTTGTAGTATTTCTGTGACAAGTAAGATTTAGCAATGCTTACACACTGTCAATAACCCTGGACCCGCAGGTCTTACTTTAACAAGGAACAAATTACCTTCTCAATTCGTGGTTAGAACCTCATACTCTCAGGTTATTCTTTCATGGGTACTACAGATGAATACATAACACATTGGACTAACTCCACAATTATAGTAACATACAATACCTCCTGTTAGTTTGCAAGGAACAACCTGGTACCTTGAACTCTCATTCAGTGGTTCAATACTTAACCTGGGATGACTATATTTCTGCTAGTCATCCCTAAGCATGGATATTAATACGGCTCCATACATATAACCAAGAACAGTGGGTAGACCATGATCATATGACGGAGTCAGTAGGCCAGAGTTGTTTACAGGCTCGCTCGCTAGCTCGGAGCGCCTGGCCCAGGAAAAGTTGACTGTGGCGGTGGGCCGTGGCGTCTGCCAAGGAATCTCGCCCTGGGATTCTCATCTCGCCACCTTAAAGACGTCTTAAGGCTAGCTAGATCCAGGATTAATATTTACACATTTTATATCCTTTCCAATCAGATTCTTTAAGAAGGCCCAATCCTCCTGCACAGATTCCCATTTCCTCAAAAGTTTTTCTTTATCAGCATCTTTACACTTTACCAACACCTTTTTAAAACTTTCAGTTGTTGCTCCCTGCGCTACACAATCCTTTATTTTCCTCTCCTTCCCTGTAATACTTATTTTAAGCACTGAATTTTTCAAAGGCTTGAGCTCTTCACTTTCCTCTTTCCCTTTTAATTCTACATTATTCACAGCTTTGTTTTCCCTTTCTTTATTTATCACTGTATCAAGTCTTTTCTCTATCACTTCTATTTTCTGACCTAACTTTTGCAAAAGCTGAAACATCTTAAGCACCTCTTCTCCCAGAATTTCTTGCACAGTTTTATCACTAACCTGGAGGGCTGCACCACTACTCTCACTTGCTACTTGTTTATTACTCTCTTTGTTTCTGGCATCAACAACGCTTCCGGCCGCAAGCGCAGTCCTTATCCTTCTTGAATCTTCATGCCAGGCATTCTCAGGAATCACTGTCTGTGTGTTCTCCTGCTGTCTTGTCACTGTCAGACCACAGCGTACTTCCTCGGTGTTCTCTGAATAATTCCTTTGTTGGTCACTTCTCATACGTGGCCTCATCTCGCATGCAATTGAACTAGCATTGAGAGTTTTACCACACTTACAACAACAAGGCTTCACTTTCTCTCCTGCTTTGATCTTGTCCTTACAGTTGCTAGATTCGTGCCTCTTCCCACAGAATCTACAACGTGGGTCCAGTTGACAGCTCCAGGCCTTATGTCCCCATCTGCAACACTTGAGACACATTATTGGTCCCCCCACATATAGTGCCACCTTCCTATACCCTGCTCCTGTGATGAACACTTTCTCTGGAACCTTTCCTCTCATTAGAGCAATAACCTGGCTTCTCTCTTCGCCCCTTATTAAATGCCTCTTGACCCAAACAAATCTTTCGTCATCCAATAAGTATTCTGGGTCTAGTATTACAGGGTACCTGAAGATTATAACCTTTGTAAGTAGTATGTCGCTCTCCTCTGGCAAAACCATCAGTAATCCCTTGTACCCAACAGTTGTCAACATTTCCACAGCCTGTAAGATAAGGCTTGTGTGTGCCTTCTTTCAAAAGAGGCTCAAAGCTGCGATGCTCCCGTCCTAGTTGTACTGCCCATTTTAATTTTTCAAGGAAGGTCATCGGGCATGACTGGAAAAATTAATCTCTTCCTGACACGACCAACTTCACCTTGTGTGTGTTCTTGTCTGCTTCCTTCAAATTCCATACTTTGCTCTGTTCTTGATCCATTCTCCACTATCTCCTTTCTGTTATTTCCATTATTATTACCACCCACACACGTTTTTTGTCCTAGATGATTTTGTCTCTTCTCCTCTCTCACTTCTTTGCTTTCACTGTCCTCATGCCAGCTTGTCTCCCTCATTGTTTTAGAATTTTCTTTCTTATTCACTACCTCTTGTTGTAGCTGTATTTTCTCACTTTCGAACTTCCCTTGTGCTTCATCACTCGTATTAGACTCATCACTACTCAACTCAAGGTCTTCAAGAACTTCGTCCAATACTATCTTTTCTTTACTCTTCCATGTAGAGTTCTTAAGCGAAAATTCACTTTCCGTGGGGCAATGTTGACATCCCACAACACCCAGCCAGGAGTGATGGGACCCCGAGCAGTTATTTTTGTAAGGTAAACAGTAAGTTCCCAACACTAAAGTTGCTTGACGATACTTATCTTATCCTCGGGTCCTTATACACAAGTAGGTAAGTCTATATATCCTTCAGTTAATGTAATAAGCTCGAAAACATCCCAAATTTGGGAGCTAGCGCTCACAGCTGTGTTTACCGGACCAAAAAAATGGCCGCTCCGTCGTATGTCGAGTAGGTCGTAAGTCGAGGAGTAGCTGTATTTAACTAATGATAACAGAAAAAGTTATTTCTTTAATGTTTTGTTTTTGTGTTTTAATGTTTTGTCTGTGAGTCGGTTCTCGTCTTCAACGTTTAGGTCACGAAGGAGGCTTAAATATATCTAGAAAAAAGTTTTTGCTCCTGTGTAAATATCATAATAAATTTGCACTGTCCTCTGATTGGTCACAGCAGAGAGATTTAAATAATAAATCCCGCAAAATTGTGCCTCTCTCCCGGCAGCACGATAAGAATCCGTCGAGATCGTCGCAGTTTCGTTCTACGTCGGTCGCGTCCACGAAATGTAAACACTATTGGACGCGTACGAAACCGGGTATGCCGATTCGGTTTTTGTTGGTCCATCGCAAGAAGTTAGGTAGTTTAGATTAGGTTAGGTAGGGTTTTCAATGTTGTTTTTTTAACCCTTCATGTTGAAAGTCTAACTCACTTTGGAAGATTCATTGTTTTTGTTAGTGTAAGGAAATTAAGATCATATTTATTTATTAGAAAAAATCCAAATAAAAACTTGTAAAACTATCGTTTTGGCCGTGCAGCTATTTTCCGAAGGTCATAAAAGTTGAAAATACATCAAAAACCATTGGAACAAGATTATTTCAACCTAACCTAACCTATTTGAGTAATCAGTTTCTCCACGTGGTACTAAACAAACAAGTGCCTTTATTATAAGTGTACGAAGATGTTATTTGACCACGATTCTGGGCCAAATAACCGTCGGCCATTTGACCGGGACCTGCGGGGATCGTATAGGATTGTAGTCGGGATGGTTGGGGGCATTAAACAAGTCATTACATTATGGTATTATTTAATTGTATAATTTCTGTTGACAAAAGGATTTAGTTTTATTTTAGATCTCTGTCAAATAAGCGGCGGTTATTGTGCCGAGTACCGGTCAAATAATCCCTGCCTATAATATAATAGTTTTACAGTGTTGTGTATTATATAGCTATTGGTCACATTTCCAGGAAGCTTCAAGGACCAACAACACATCTCGGTACGACAAGTCGAGACTCGACCGTACAGACCCGTCCGGTCTCGCACACGACGCCGTTAACGGCAAACGGAGAAACGCCGCTGGGAGGTAATACCGACGTCGTCACTTCACGTCGTGTCATTGGGCGTACGAGCCGAGTGTATTAGAGTACAGGTTGTACCTCTCTAGTCCGGCATTCTGTGATCCGGAACGATTTTAGTTTGTCCAATAGGTAGATAGGCAGCTTTTTTTTTTTTTTAATCTTGATTATTATTATTATTATTATTATTATTACAGGAGTATTAAATTTTTGCCCCTCAGGCCCCAATGTGGGTCAGTGACCTATGCCCGGGTGGGCTAATCCCCGTAAAAAAACAACAACGACAAAGCCGGGGGAAATTAAGGTTTGTTTACATCCGGCAGCTCTCTCTCTGTGCTTGTCTATACAGAGCATAACATTTAACCCTTCAATATATATTCTAGCAGTAAATAAGTGTTGCTTTCATATTCTTAAGTAGAGTAACGACGACATGTTTTCACGTGTGCGCACTTACATACGCTCAGTTTCACTTTTTTTTTTACCATTGATGGTTAGCTACTTATATTGTTCCATTTATTAACATTAAATAACATTACTTCAAACAAGCATATTAATTTTTTTACATTAATTTTACTACAGCTACAATCAGGGTCTTATTTTCTTCAGTTTTATATGTAGAACCAATCTGTCACCGGTTTTGTAAGCTTTAACAAAAACAATGCCGGCAGCCGTCTCGTCTCGTCGCGCGTTTTAATATTACACGTATTAGTAATAAATTGTATTGTTAATTTTGCACACACAAACATTAATTCAATAAAAACAAATTCAGAAACATTAATTAAAATATATATGAACAGTAAATAAGTGTTGCTTTCACATTCTTACGTAAAGTAATGACGATACGTTTTCACGCGTGCGCACTCGCATACGCGATCTCTGTTTTTCTTTACCATTATCGTTAGCTACTTCTATTGTTCCATGTATTAACATTACTTAAAAGAACCATATTAATTTTTCTACAGCTACAACCGGGGTCTTATTTTCTTCAGTTTTATACGTAGAACCAGTCGGTCACCGTTTTTGTAATCGACGAAAACGGTGCCGTCTCATTTCCTCGCGTTTTAATATTGAGCGTATTATTAATGAATTGTATTGCTCATTTTGCACACACTAACATTAATTCAATCCAAAAGACTTTCAGTAATAAATAATAACGAATCTTTCGTACATAAGAGAAATAACGCCGTTTACACGATCGTGCACGTCGTCCGAACGTCGGCGGGCCATTCAAACCCGTCGAAATTTGAGTTTCCGCCGTCAAAAGTTTTAAATGTGTCGGCTTTTTTTGTGCGTTCAAATAGAAAACGTCGAATTAAAAACTCGCGAAATTTGAGAAGGTACTGTACGACATTTAACCCTTCAATATGTCTTCAAAGAGACCACGAAGCAGAGAAAGTGGTGCTAGTGCTTCCAAGTGTAAACAGAAGTCACTATCTGTCCAGGAAGAGGGCGAATTTCCACGGTCGGGAAATTTCCGGCGTCCGGCACCGGTCGGGTCCCGTGGTTGCCGGACCGGAGAGGTACAACCTGTACTTGTATTTCAGTACACTTGTACAGTAATCCTATAAAAGTGGGCATTTATGTAAATGTTTGTGCGTAAGGTCGCGTCCCATTGGCGTCGGCGGTACGCGACACTTCCAAAATATGGCCCAGATTCACGTTTTTCATCCCATACCCAATTTTGAATGTGTGTTTATTTCGTGGTTCTTTAAAGTACAGTACAGTATATTAATAACTTTAACTTTCGTTTTCAAAACATAATGTCATTGTTTATTAATTATGATACTCTATAAATGCTGTGGTACTCTAAATACTTTTTTCTACTTATATGAATCAGTTGAGTTGAGTAAACTTTTATTTGCATAGTTTTGAAGAAGACTACAGGACATAGTTTAAATTTTTACATATCAACAGTGCAGTACTTTATCTTAAGTAATATTTTCAGGCACTTTCTCCAACACTGCCTACAGTGGACCTGATGTGAACTAGAATGAAGTTGGCTGGACATAAAGTTTACTGGACCTCAAGTAGTCTGTGGTATTGTATTTAATATTGTTGTGGTACTTTGAATGTTAGGAAAGTTCTACAGGCATTCCCCAGTTTGATAAGAGTACTGTGTCTTATAAAAACCTATGGTAAATCGAATCACTATTCCTATAGACTCACATTATAAAAGCCAAGATACTTTTCTACAACGAAAACAGTTCCCCCCAAATTATGTACGGTCCCCCAAAAAGTATCGATTGAATTTTCTAGCGGTAAAATTTGAAACTCTAGATGAAATACTTTGCTGTGATCCCCAGTGCATCAGCATAAGTTGGTACAGGTACATCCGGTCACTATATGAGCAATAGCCGTAGACGGCGGGTAGCGAGGGAGTCGTCCTCGTGTGACATACGACCGTACGGTATATGCTTTACTATAACAAGAAATTCATTGAGCTATATTAATGTATGTATCGTGCCGGTTAGAAGCGAGGCCCCAACCGAGGATTACAAAAATATCGGAATATACATTAAACGGAAGAGTTTTGGAACGTCACGAGCTAGACCGAGACGGACCTCGGGGCATACGTTTCGCCACCGCGTCGTAGTGACGGTTTTATTCGTACCGAGATGCACAATGTAGTCGTCGACGACACGTCTGATTTTTGAGGAGGGACGGAGCAAATAGTAGTTGATATTAGAGTGAACAGGTACAGCAATATACAATATATTGGTCTAAATGGGATCTGCCAAATATTATCGATACGTAAATGGCGTCGGTTTAACGTCAAAATAAGATTTTAATCGGCGCGTCGCCCGTCGTTTAGCGGCGGGTAACCCATCGCGATGCCCGAGGGTTCGCTCGCCCCATTGTGCCGAGTTATTCGAGCGTTGCGCGTACCCTCGTCGCGAAGGCTAATAATAGCGCCTCTCTCCCCGTTGTGTCTTTCCGATAATTCCTCGGTTCATTTGACGTACGATCCCGGTAATGACCGGCTCGGCGTCCGTTTACGACACGCAATCCAAATTCGCGCTACGTGCGATGCGAATCCTCGGAGGATTTGCATCTTTCAAAAACACATACAGTCGTGCGCCGGTTAACATCCGATAGCATATACAGTCGGCCCTTAACATTCGCTGGGGTTAGGTAACAGAGATACCCGTGAATGTTAAAAATCCGTGTACTATTGCTACCCCCCCCCCCCTAAAAAATCCCTGGCCCCCCATGTCCTTATTTACCGTATATACCTGTGTGTAGTTTGAGTTTTTAAGACCAAATTATTTGGCAAAAATTGGGGGTCGACCTCTAAACGGGTAATAGTTTCGTTAGGTTGAAAAATATTTACCAGTAAACAATGGAAACGATGCACCAACACACCACCCGCTGTGAGTGTCGGTACAGTTGCCAGGGCAGATCTGTTGCGAGCCCAAAGTAGCCAAATCCATGGTATGGTAGCACAGGACGATGTAAAACAAAGTATTCATTTATTAAAGTTAATTTATAGATACTGGACATAAATGTTTGTTCATTACATTTGAAACATCAATCTTTGTTAATTAAATTTGAAACAAGAGAAAACTACGATACTGGATTTTCATTAAAATATTACATCACAAGTATATTTTACCTTAACTGTGACTGAATGAATATATTCTCGGAAATAAATATGGAAATGTAATATTTTTGCTGGAATGACGTACATATTATAGTGGGAAGTGGGATAAAATCACGAGGAAAGACTTTCGCTTTCTTTCGTTGTTCAAAATATTTTACCGTAATCGCTTTTCGAATGGTTTTCAGTTAAAAAACTGTTGTATTACAATAATATTCTATCCTAATTCACTTGTGATGCAACAGTTTTTTAACTGAAAACCATTCGAAAAGCGATTACGGTAAAATATTTTGAACAACGAAAGAAAGCGAAAGTGTTTCGTCATGATTTTATCCCACTTCCCACTATAATATGTACGTCATTCCAGCAAAAATATTACATTTCCATATTTATTTCCGCGAATATATTCATTCAGTCACGGTTAAGGTAAAATATACTTGTGATGTAATATTTTAATGAAAATCCAGTATCGTAGTTTTTTCTTGTTTCAAATTTAATTAACAAAGATTGATGCTTGAAATGTAATGAACAAAAATTTATGTCCAGTATCTACGAGTTAACTTTAATGAATGAATACTTTGTTTTACATCGTCCTGTGCTACCATACCATGGATTTGGCTACTTTGGGCTCGCAAGAGATCTGCCCTGGCAACTGTACCGACACTCACAGCTGGTGGTGTGTTGGTGCATCGTTTCCATTGTTTTCTGGTAGTTACTGGTAAATATTTTTCAACCTAACGAAACTATTACCCGTTAAGAGGTCGACCCCCAATTTTTGCCAAATAATTTTGTCTTAAAAACTCGAACTACACACAGGTATATACGGTAAATAAGGACATGGGGGGGCCAGGGATTGTTTTTTGGGGGGGGGTAGCAATAGTACACGGATTTTTAACATTCACGGGTATCTCTGTTACCTAACCCCCGCGAATGTTAAGGGCCGACTGTACTTCAATTACTTCAATGTACAGAATATTCCTCTGGCGGGGCAATCCGCGTATTTGCGAATCCGTGAATGCTAAACCCGCGTATGTGAAAGGCCGACCGTACGTCCGTGCCCCCCCTCGAAAAAACACTTCCGTGATGCCTGCTGGACCACCACTCCAAGACCCCCCTGATGGAGACACGACGATCCTTCCCGTACTGGCTAGATGTTATGTGTTAAAGGAATATCATTCCTTAGGCTTTAGTAAGCATTTTCCTCCAGGTGTAATGTTAACCTACATCTATTGAGGATAAAATCTTTCACCTACAAATTGACAATAACACATTTGCTGTAATCGGACATATCTAGTTGCCTCAACAATTGCAACCCTAGTTGCAATTTGAAATTCTGTGTCATTACTGAGGAATAACGAAGTCTCTGGTGCACTGCACTCTAAGATTAAGAGAAAATGGACTCGGGCATCCCGAAGGGAGAGAAAACGGACTTCCACGACGGGAGACTCGAGCACTAACACGTGCCACTCATACCGAGAGACTTGACAAGTTTTACCGACCATTAGTGATGTACGTTATCTAGTGAATTTAGTCAATATTGTACAGTATAAGTATACTGCAATTACAGCGGTCCCTCGGTTAACAATGGACCCGAGTGCAAACCCTTACTGTACGTGTACTAAACGATTACGGTACTTAAATTGTTATGTCTATGGCAAATATAGATTGTTTACACAGATATTCAAATACTATCTTACAAGTTATATTCACCCAGGTCGTTTGGGTGGCAAATTATGAGAAGAGCTTAGTCACTCTTAAGTAATGATAAATAAACACTCGGGCCTTCAGCGCCAACTGTCAAATCTTATCTCAAATAAATAAAGACATTGTCACCTCACTTCCCCCCCCCCTGCTCGCTGGCTACCTCCCTCCTTGTGTTCCCAGACAAAACATTGGTGATAACTTTATGCTTTAAGGTGTTTATTTTATATAATATCTCAGACTAAAGTTAGGGGATTACAATTTGCATAGCTGGAATCCTTGCAAGACAGCCAATAATTTGAATATAAACATTATATATATACTGTATTTTGTTGAAGATATAAAAATTGTAGTACATTTTATAATATAAAGTTTTTCAACTGTATTTTTGGGTAGATTTATATCAATTTCTTCATTTATTTTCATCCATTTACATGCAGACACCACAATAAAAGAAACGTAAAAGAAATAAACGACCTCGGTGCAAAGCCGGAGCATTGTTGTACTAATTTGATTACGGTACAAAAATTGTTATGTCCGGTGCAAATTACAGCATGTTTATATTCAAATTAATCAGTATGTTACAAGAATCCCAGCAATGTTAATTATATTGTACCAGGTCATTTCACTGGCATTTTAAAATGAGAGAAGCTTAGTAGGACTGTTAAATAAACTCACAGAGACCTTCGGCTCAAACTGTCAAACATCTCCTCTTAACTCTCTCCCCCATCTGTTGAGCCAGGGTTTTAGGCTTACAGTTTTTATCTTACATAATATTTCAGACTAAAGTTAGGAGATTATAATTTGCATTGCTGGAATCCTTGCAAGACAGCCAATAATTTGAATGTTAACGTCATATATTTTGCTCGAGAGATAAAAATTGTTGTACGTTAGTGTACAGTACTGTAGTACATTTTATAATATAAAGTTTTTGAACTGTATTTTTGGGTAGATTTACATCAATTTCTTCATTTATTTTCATGCACACAGCATACTAAAAGAAATAATTGACCTTAGTGCAAAGCTGGAGTTTTGTTGTACTAATTTGATTTGGGTACTAAAATTGTTATGTCTAGTGGAAATTATAGCATGTTTATATACAAATTAATCAGTATGTTACAAGAATCCCAAGAATGTTAATTATATTCAATTATTATTTTCGCCGAAAAATATTAAGACCTGGGTTTTGATTCATAATATCATTATGATAAAAGTTAGAATTTAATTTGCATTGCTAAAATCGTTACAAGACGGCTAATAATTTTAACATAAACGTTGTATATTTTGCACAAGAGAAAAAAATTTGTAGCCCTTTGTAATAAAATTAGTTACAACTAAAATTTGTATGTGAACTATAGCATGTTTATATTCAAAGTAATCACAATTTTATAAGAATTCCAGCAATGTTAATTATATTCTTCCAAGTCAGTTTAGTGATATTTCATAAGAGAAAACCTGAAAGTCACTGTTAAGGACAGATAAATAAATAAGCTCTAGACCTTGGCATCAACTGTCAAACCGATAACCCTCCTCCCCATCTTGCCGCGAATCCGATCACGAGTAAACGGGCCATTTCGCGTCTCGTAATTTTAGCCGCGTCGATTTACGAGCGTCCGTTTTAACGCGATACTACAAAAACGATGTTTTGTAGGAGATGGGCCGAGGTGCATTTGGGTATATTGGGTCTTTTTAGTATTTTGTGTTAGT